TTTACATGCTGATCAAAATTGGGAAAAAATCGTTTTTGGAAAAGTGCTTTGGAAAGAACGCAAACAATTTTTGTAACAAACAAAATTTTGACATTTCAGTTAAATTTGGATCTTACCTACCTACTTAAAAATTTAGGTTTTGAATTAGGACTGACATATTAATGTAGACGTTTATTCTTCGAAAAACAAAACAAAGTTATAACAAATGCTCAAATGTTTCACCTTCCACTTCTAAACATAATTCTACTCGTTTCCTCAGATTCTGAATAGCTCGCGAGATATCTCGTCTTCTTATCTTAGTCCTCAAAGTGGTGATTATTGTTCTTCTCAGCTCATCGATATCGATGGGTACAGATTTAAAAATTAAGTCTTTCATAATTCCCCATAAATAATAGTACAGTGGAGAAAGATCAGGTGACCGCGCTGGCCAACGTATATCTCCGTTATTTGAAATCACCTTACCTGGAAACATTTCTGACAAACACTCAGCAACTCTTCTAGTGTTATGCGGCGGTGCACCGTCTTGCTGAAACCAGGTGGTATTCACCCGGTTTAGAGGAATGTTGTTGTCAACGTAGTCGGTAAGAAAGGTTCTCAGAAAATTGACATACCGATCGGCATTTAAATTTTCTTCATAAATATATGGGCCAATTATTGTGTCGCCCAATAAACCGACCCATACATTTACGCCGAAACGTACCTGTGGTCGCCGTTCTTGATGTCCACAGGGATTCTCAATGGACCAAATGTGTTCATTGTGTCGATTGAACATGCCCATGTTTGTAAATTTGCATTCATCCGTAAATATAACATTACGCAAAAAATTTGGATTTTGCTCCAACTGGTTGATAACAAATCTACAAAACTCTACCCGTCGACCACCATCTCCGGGATGGAGAACTTGGGTGATGTGAATTTTAAATGGACGATATTTGTGTTTTTTTAGTATCCTCCACACCACTTGATGCGATATGCAACTTCCCGTGTAGAAACCGAACGATTATCTTGAACCTAAAGAATCTTAAGTATGTTTTTTAATTCACTCACCGCTTGTAAAACTGCCATCTCATTTACATTATCTCTACGGTTGTACCTTCGTCTAGGTTTTATAAATGAACCGGCTAAATTCCTATGGAGCAATAGAAAATAATTCTGACCTGGTTGCTCTTTCTCTGGATACAACTGGAGATAGGTTTCGGAAGTAATTTGCGCATTTTTATGCGAGGTGTAATAAATCTGAAGCATATCACGCTTTTCTTCATTTGAAAAAGGCATTTTTGTGGATAAACTTGAAAGATTTCCAAAGTTCTGCTATAATTTTATTCGAAGAACAAACGATCGTTTGTTTATAATGCTTTTATTAATAATTATTAATACTTGAAATATTTTACTGTTTTTTGTAATATTTTTTTTTATGTTTTTAATTGTGATGTATACCGTGTGTTATTATTGAATATTAAATTTTATTTTCCAATAAGCCTTAGTGTTTTATAATTCAAATATGACATTGTACCTAGTAGGCTTCGGTTAATAAATAAAAATTATTATTATTATTTAACTGAGCTGTCAAAATTTAGTTTGTTAACCAAAATTGATGGCGTTTTTTCCAAACACTTTTCCAAAAACAATTTTTTCCCAATTTTGATCAGCACGTAAGATTCGATCATATTGTGTGATACATCGTTGAAATCAGGAAAAAAAACGTTTTAAAAATGCAAAAATCCAATATGGCGCCTATAAGAAAAACCAAAGTTGAGTGTTGTAACTCTGGCATCAAGGACGCCTTGGAAAAAAAGATGACAGATTTGGATTCCTTGTAAAAAAGTGCCCTAAGAAAGCGCTACTTAAAAACGTCCAGTTCTTTTGGTTTTCGCTTAAAAAAATAAAAACGAAATGCAAATTTCAGTTTTTTCCCAATAATTCAAAAAGTAAAAATGACACATAAAATTTTCTTTCAGATAATTATTCAGCATGAAAATGCGCAACTTTGCCCTAATTTAACCGACCTCGTATCTCTATAATAACGGAGATCCCCATGGTGGAGCTCGAAAAACGGGCACCCTGTATATATGTATGTATAGGATTTCTCCTTCGTTAAAACAAGTTGTATGAAAAATTAATAAATGAACTATTTTGTGACCAAGGCTCGAGATCGTCTTACCAAAATTTAAACCTCTACGTTGTGTTTACCTACTTGTTCTATTAAATACATTGCTTTAAGAATCATACTTGGGAGAATTAGGTATACAAAAAAATAAAATACTTTTCCTACAGTTCCTATCCAAGTGCCCCATTTTCCCGCAAGCTCTACATTTAATAACATTTACTCTATTATTGCCTTGGTTCCTTTGGAAAAAAATATTGATTGGCTTCTTCTTCAATTGCGTATTGAACCGCTTTATCTATGTCTAAATAAGCTTCCCTCATGTATAAACTACCCAGATTTCTCAACAAATTTTTTTCAACCCTATTTTAAATTGATTCAAAACTAACTGTTTATTCAAATTTTTTATGTCCGGTTTATAGGCTTCTGCGGAATTTTTCAAATTTTCCTCTAAAATTTTTATTCCCAATAATTTAATTCTTTCTACAAAAGCATTAACACTTTCATCAGAATCAGAATTTTGATAACACCTGTAGCGAGACTCAGGGTTGGGCGTTGGTACGTACGTTTGACCAATTAAATACAACCTCAGGATAATAATTTATTTCGCAAGAAATGAGTGAATCTACAAAGATTGGCACAATTAACATCCAGTTATACTAACATACAAGGTAGCTTACCTAGCCCAGGCTTAAAACATATAATAAAATATATAAAATTAACGGTAGCCGTCTTGGTGCACATAAACACTCACCGCTGTGAAAGACGATATGCAAATGACCGTTTCACCGCAGAGCGACTCAAGGTCAGGGCCGGGTACACCTGAACGAGTGTTTTTTGCTAAGTTGATAAATTAATAAACTCGCACCGCTTCTTCCACCCCCATTTCAGAACGGTAATTTACGTTGTTACGTTGATACGGTTTCTGAAAGAGCTACGGGCACATATTTCTTAAGGTGGCTGGCATGAAAAGTACCGCGTTCCAAACATAAAACCCGTGTATTTTTTGCTTTCCGGCGTGAGATGTATTTGCCAATACGAATGACTAAGGTCTAATACGGTGCAGTACCGAAAACCCGACAGCGAACGCATAATTTCCTCTATGGGCCGCGGTAACTCGTGATCCTTTTCTGTCACCGAGTTTGCGCGCATCGAGACAAACCCGCACTGAGCCGTTTTTCTTGACCGTCGTCATCAGCGGTGATATATACGGTGTAGCGCAACGAGAAATCACCCCCCACTCCTCCATTTGTTCAATAGTTTTTTGTATAACATCGCGGTGAAACATTGGCAATGGATACGGTTTGATATAAAATTCTTTTTTATCCTTAAGTACAATATCGTGTTTATATAGGCGCGTTAATCCCGGACGTTCACAAAAAATATCAAAAAAACTTACTAACAACTCATTAAACCGCAACTTTTCATTTTCAACAAGCACGCTACAAGTATTAATTATTGTTCCAAAATCATTACTGTGTTTGGTTATGTAAGACATCCGGTATACTTGCGTTGACATTATGGCCCTAATTTCTAGTTCCTTCATTTCGTGATTTGGGATTAACTCACGGACGCAAAGTTCCGACTGCTGATAAGTCGCAAGAATGCATTTTTTAATTAGGTCTATTTTGGCATTTATTAGCCTTAAAAAATCTATTCCTATAATAATGGGGTGCAATAAGCCCGCAATAACCAGAAACTCGTGAGTAAAAATAACGTTCTCTATTTGAAAAGTTAGACTAGCTTGAAAATGTACTTTCCGTTGTTTGCAGCGAAAAGCCCCCTTAATGTGCAACCCCGTGCAAGGAAAATACAGAATTTTCCCATAAAAATCATGGAGTTGTGCCCATACCACTTCTGATATGCAGCACACTTGTGAACCTGTGTCCACTAGCGCTGGGAAACTAATTTTATATAAATTTATTGAAATTACAGGACAACGGTCATCCATCAAGGAATGTTCAAAATCACATTCCTCGAATAAGTCATCCCTAGGTTATTGTTAACCTTTATAGTCCTTAGAAACCTACCCGCTAGGGGGTGGACAAATCCCTAGTTGGCTTCCCCGTTTCCCGAGTTTATGCCCACTGGTGAAACAGATCTACTGTTTTTATTAAAACTTTGGTAAGGTGGCCGTTTATTATCAACGTTATTTCAAAATCTTACTCTATTTTCGTATTTCTTATCGCCACTGTCATGGTTTTTATTATAATACTCGTCCGCCTGCGTCAACCTTCTAAGTGCCTCAGTTAACCCACAGTCTATTATTAATACCGAAATATTTGGTGGCAATGGTCGCCAGAAGCATTTTTTCAGGGTAGGGTGGATCCAGAAACTTATAAGAAACGAATGAAAAAAATCTACAAATGATTCACCCTCTTTATAACGTTTTGTTCCAATTTTTACTCTATTTTGCCACTGATGGTGGTCATTCCAAAATTGATTTTTAAACGCCCGCTTAAAATCTGCGTATTCATTAAAGGTTTCTATAAACGCATCCAGCCATAACCTTGATGACCCCTTAAAAAGGCCTCGAATAAAAAAATTAAATTCGTTAAAAGGCATGGTATCTACATTAAAATCGTCCTGCATTTGATTTAAGGCGGCTGCACAATTACTCGGGAACGGAAACGAAAATGAGAACGGTAACGAGAAAAAAATTGAATTACACATAAGTGAATGTACACATGCACAGCAAATTTACGGTAACGAGAACTAGAAACATCCCGCGAACGGAAACGAGAAAGTTGGTTAAGTTTTAAGATTCTCGTTCCAGGTAGCCAATAGGAACGCAGCATTTTCGAAACCAATAGAAAATGAGTTTGATCTGTCAAATTATTTCTGATATTCGCGCTATTATTTTATGAATACGTTCTGTGTGGATAAATACAAGAAAATGAACGACGAATTAATTATTTTATTAGTGGAAAAGTGCCCACATCTGTACGATCGCTCGTTGAAAGAGTACAAAGATAAACTATTAAAAGAAAATAGTTGGCTTTCAATAGCCGAACATCTGCAGTGTGATGGTACGTATATTTAGAATATAAATATTATCTTATAAGTATGGTATATATTGGGTAATTGCAGTTGAAATGGTAACAAAAAGATGGGACAACCTAAGGGATCGGTTTGTCCGGGCCTACAGGGACTACACTATGCTCCGCTAGAGGGTCCAAGAATAAAAATGATTTTCCATTTTTTTACAACATGCTGTGGCTGGAACCATTTGTACGAAAAAAAAAAGTAAGCATATTTTCTATCCAAACCTGGTTTCTTGTAATAAACCAAGTTTGGCAGATCATTATTTTTTGCAAATAATCATAACTCATGATTGATGAATTGGTTTAAATTAGTTTCAACTACTAAAAATTCTCCTTTAGCATTACACTATATTTATTTTAATTTTTAAATAAAAACAATAGTACTGACCAATATAATATTAATAATATGTATGTTTTTTTTCCTTTAGATTAATATCCTCCATAAAGGCTGAAACACCATCTACAGGTGAAAAAAGAAAGTAAGTTTATTTTGTTACTTTAGATTTGATTAATTACACTGTGACAAAACAGAGGGTCAAATTAATAGCCACCTAATATTGGTTGTATGGGCCCACAGATATCATTCTTTTGAGGGGTTTTGATGTTGATTTCTGAGGGCCTGTATTACTGATATTAGATGTCAAATTTTTTGTTATAATTTTACTGTTGCACATTGTTTTTTTATTTATTTAACGTTTGTGATGGTAAAATGTAACTTTTTGCTTTAGATTTACCCCAGAAGTAATTGTTTTGGAACAAGAGGCTGAGGAAGTAGAGATGGATTTAACTAGTACTCTAGGAACTTCTAATTCTTTTATTGAAAGACCAGAGCCCACTTAGTCTTTTATTGAAACACCTGGAACCTCACAGTCTTTCGTTGAAATAACTGAGACATCTCATTCTTTTGATGACAGACCTGAGACCCAATTTTCCATTGAAATACCTGGGGACTCTCCTTCTTTCAATAACAGACCTGGATGCTCCCAGTCACCTAGTGAAAAGGTCAAGACTCAGCAGACTTTAGGTGAAACTTTGGAAACACAGGAAAAAAGCAAAAGAACACCAAAAACACCAAAGTTTCAGGATGTAATGACTTCTGCAATGGAAAGATTTTCTAAGATTTGTGAAACCCAAATGAAAAAAAGAGAATTTGGAGAGAGCGATAAAAATTTTATGCTCTCTGTGGTGGAGGACATGCAGAATTTACCACCGCCAAAAAAAATGAAATTTAAGAGGGATGTTCTAAATTTACTAATACAATATATGGAATAAAAAAAATGTTATTTTAAATTTTTAATAAAAATAAAAGTTAAAAACAAAAAACCTTTTTTCTTTTAAACAAAATAAAAATTAAAAATATGTTAAATTCTTCCTCTATTATTTTAATAAAAATAAAAGTTAAAATAAAAAACCTTTTTTCTTTTAAACAAAATAAAAATTAAAAATATGTTAAATTTTTCCTCTATTATTTAAATAAAAATAAAAATTAAAAACAAAAAACCTTTTTTCTTTTAAACAAAATAAAAATTAAAAATATTTTAAATTCTTCCTCTATTATTTTAATAAAAATAAAAGTTAAAAACAAAAAACCTTTTTTCTTTTAAACAAAATAAAAATTAAAAATATGTTAAATTCTTCCTTTATTATTTTAATAAAAATAAAAGTTAAAAACAAAAAATCTTTTTTCTTTTAAACAAAATAAAAATTAAAAATATGTTAAATTCTTCCTCTATTAACATACTGTTGTTGCCTTGGTACAGCCCCAGCATCTGACATGAGATATTGTGCTAAATTGTCTCTTAACTTTATAATAGCATTTGCAGCAACATTTGAATCCATTCTCCCTACAGATGTCAAATTCTTATCATTTTTTGTTATCTCTTTCCATTCACCTTCAATAATTTCACCAGAAGGAGTATAACGATTGGATAATTCTGTCCTTAAATAATTGTGTAAACATAAGGTAGCTTTAACTATAGCTTCTGACGTTTTTACAGAACATAATAGAGGTGAACGGTAAACCCTCCATCTACTTTATGCCAAATGAATTTTCTATTACTCGTCTTGCTCTTGACAATCTAAAAAAATATAAGCATTTAATACGATATTTATTTTAAAACTTAAATTTACCTACCTGTAGTTGAATACTAATTTCTGTTCTCCTAGATGTTTTCCTGGATATGGCCTCATAATGTAGGATTTTAAAGGGAATGCCTGATCACCAACAAAAAAGTAGGGTATTATCACATTACTGTCCTTTAATTTTTCTGGTTTGGGTAAATGAACTGACCCATTTTCTGGGTCTTGTCCCATTTTTGATCTTCTAAATACACCTGCATCGTGTTCAGACCCATAAGCACCAATGTCTACCCATACAAATTTATATTCAGCATCACAACATGCAAGTAAGACAATGCTGAAATGGCTTTTGTAGTTAAACAATGGGACACTGAATTTGCACATGTTTCCCATCTATTGCTCCAAGTGTGTGAGGAAAATTCCATTTATTTAAAAACTGTTCGCTAATTTTACACCAGTCATTTCTAGTGCAGGGTTTTAAATAAATTGGTTGGAGTATATCCCAAATGGCTTCACAAGTCTAAAAAATTACTTTTGAAACTGTAGAGTGCCCCACTCTGAATTCCCATGATAAATTCTGGAATGATCCTTCATGAGCCAAGTATTTTAAAGTCATAGCTAGACGTAACTCTGGGGAAAGAGACTCTATTCTGCTACGCTTTAAAAGTTTGGATTTTAATAAGTTTAAAATGTTATTGAATTGGCTAGGTTCCATTCTTGTGTATTTAAAAAACATTTCGTGGTCTTTAGATTTCATGTGATAAAATATATTTGCAAATGCTCCTTCTTTTTGTCGATTTTGAAACATTGGTCTAACCCACCATCTAAAAAATAAAAATAGGTACCTACTCAACTATGTATTTGTGTTTACATACCTTCTGTTTATTTCTGATGAAAAAGTAATATAAGAAAAACAAATGAGTAGAAAATACATGGATATCTCCAAAAACTCATCGTCACTTAAGAAATCCATTTTAAAAACTTGCACAGTTACATATAACAAATAATAACGGTAAAGATCATAAAAATAAATCAAGATTCAAAACGCTTTTAATTTTATGTTAATATGTTTGACATTCAGGTGCACCAACTATACTCTTTGGCACCAACAAAATTAAATATCCCCAAAATATACCAACCTAAGAATTGAAATAATTATGTTTATTGTGAATCTTGTAAATCTTCTCGTTTTCGTTTAACCCTTCGTTAGTGTGCACAGGAAAATCCGCACGAGAGGTGTTCCGGGGTATGTCATACCCAAACTAAAGTTAGCTCAGGAAGTCAAAAAAAAATTGAAATTTTGGATTTTTAATAGTCACGCATGTTTTTTTACATAATTGTGACTTAAATAAAACAAACATCGTTCTTGAATAATTTAATTTCAAAATTTATTAATTAAAACAAAAATATATAGCAATTCTGCTCATGAAAAAAGTACAAGTGATAATTCATTACCAAAGATTTTGTAGGTCATCCCAATGAATAAAAACCCAAACCTAAACTATAAAAATAACATGAATTAACACAACTAAAAAGAAATCAAACTAAAATAATCAAAAATCAAAAAAATATGGCTGTCCGAAATTGACACAATTTTCACATGTCATCATTGCGTGTTCCAAACAAAGTGGAACATCACATCGCATAAACATGTAAAATGTCTTCCTGTCCTTACTTCTAGGACAAACAGAACACCTCTTAGCTCCCAGTTGATGTTGTTCTGGTTGCTGATTATCACGAAGAGGTCGACGCAAGGAAGGGATTTGTCTACGTTGATCTCGAAATTCAGAAATCAGTTCCACACCAAGTGGTTTCAAAAACGATCCTCTTTTCATGCTGAACTGTTGTGTATTCGTTTTAAATATAACTTGAGCATTCACTCCAGCAGTTTTCAAAAACGAAAAAAACAATGTCAAAGGCCAACGACGGCTATTTCTTGAGAATTCTTGAATAATTGGCAGATAACTCATCCAATGTGTCTACACCCCCCTTGGTTGAATTATAAAAATCAATAATTTCAGGCAATTTATTTTCACCGGTCTCGTCAATTATTACATTATTATGATGCATCGTGGAAAAAAGAATCACATTTTTTGACTTTTTTGGCACATATGATACAGCCGTGATATCCTCTTTGAATGCAAACATTGAACTGCGAGGTTCTCTGTTTCGTATATTCAAAAATGCGATTGGAATTTGTCTTTTATTTTTCTTGACGGTCCCGACCGATGTAAGCTGATGATTCTGAAGTAGAGAGATCATGAGAGGATAACTGGTGAACCATTTGTCAAAAGTAATGTTCCGTTTTGTTCTAGATACTGGTTCAATTAGACGTTCAACTATGTCTTGCGGATTGTTACTTTGTCGGAAAGGTCCTTCGGGCTGTTTGCCGACGTAAACTTGTTCAGGCAATAGTAAGTTTTGGCATCCACTAGTGCGAATACTTTTAAACCATACTTAGCTAGTTTGTTCGGTATGTATTGAAGGAATGACACGCGTCCCCTGAATGACTCTAACTTTTCATCTATTGTTAGATATTCACTGGGAGAATAGTATGCCTTACAGTTTTCAACAAACTGATCAAATATCCCTCTAATAGCTGCCAATTTATCGATATCTTTCCGTTGTGCTCTATTGTTCACATTATCAAATCGCAAACATTGCAGCAAAATATAGAACCTTTGTTGGGACATTGTTGTTCGAATGAGATCAATGCTGCTGCCATCAGTGTTCCAAAGATCCGAAATGTTTTGTCGGTTCGACTTGAATAACCCAGTCAAATAAAGCAAGCCCATAACCGCTTTGATTTCTTTTTGGTCAGTCTCTTTGACTAAATATTAAACCACTTTGATTTATCTTTATCCAAGAAATACCTGTTACCAGCATCATTTTCTGAGTCATCTGAAACTTCACCTCCTCCTTCAGATTCCTCTTCTTCTTCAGAATCTTCTTCTATGTGTTCTGATTCTTGTTTAGCTATTTCTCTTGTCACTCTGTCTTCCTCTAATATTGCTGGCTCTTCTTCAGATTCAGAATCAATAAAGGATCCCTCCCCTTCAGAAATTCCGCCAAACTCTTCCCACAAACGTTTGAGACTCCGCTGCTCTTCTTCGTAAGACATACTTAATGTGCAACTAAAAATATATCAAAATAATTCTTAGGTTATTTGTAAAACCCAAAAAAATATGTAGTTTACCTTTAGAACTGTTCAGAAAAAGAAAAGTTACGTCAAAGGTTTACTGGGGTATGACATACCCGGACCGACTTTGATGAGGTTTTACTTTGAACTGAAGCCTCATCGAGAACTGTCAACGAGTCTATCCTGTTAAGGCATGTTTCACCTGCAGCTACTGGGCGCTAGATGTCGCTATTTCATCTAGTTTTAATTCTACAGCTGCAAATAGATGTCGTGGGGTATTCTATACCCCTGAACACTAACGAAGGGTTAAGTTTCCGTTCTCGTTTTCGTTCCCGTTCCCGAGTAATTGTGCAGCCGCCTTTATAAAATCGACAGGATGAGTGGTTATAGCATCATATACAGGTGGCACCTTTTTATACTTATGGCTAGGGTTAGAGCTATTATTAATATCTAAATTTGGGTTATTGACTAAATTTGGGTTTACATGATTCACAACGTCGGCTACGAGCGTAGTGAGATCCTTCGGCGTTAAGACCATTTGGCGTATGGGCTCGTTTTGGAGGCCTGGCACACCCCCATGTGGGAATGGCTGCGTATACAAAGTTGCCGCGTGGTTGTAAAA